TTTCTCCTCGTATTGAACGTAAGCTTGAGCCTTGAGGAGGAGGGAGTCGAGCGTGGTTGGTTATTTCATGTGCACTGCTTTTGCAAAGTTGCTGCGAGGACAGAGCCCGCGTTCAAGAAGGTATTTCTTCATGGTGTCGATCGTGAAAAGCTGTACTGCTTTTTTATTGAAGCACTCGATATACGCTCACAGAGACTCATCTCTGTCTTGGATAATTGCTTCAAGTGAAGCATCTGATTTTGGATGTCGACAGGAGGCGGTGAAGTTCCTTGAGAACATCCTCCCTAGCTATTTCCAGGAGGTAATAGACTCGTCTGGGAGGATTTTGTACTAAGACATTACTCCTTTCCTCAGGGTAGTCGGGAACAATATGCACTTGATGGCGCCCCTGACCCCTCGGTAGTCGAGGAGAGCGTCAATATTCTCTATGTGTTCATCAGGATCAGTCGTACTAACATATGTTCCTAGTAGGGGTGGCTTTTCCAGCCGACTGAGAGCTGGGTCTCTGTAATCTCTCTTGATAACGGGCCGCGGTGCTCGTCATCATCACTTTCCTTGGGGGACGAAGGCGGGGAGTGATATTTCCTTCCCCGTCAGGCATTATTGTCTCGTTGGGGGGAAAGGCTCCTCTGGTGCTGTCTTGGTTTGGGCGACGGTGATCGGATGCGGTCAAATTGGCGGTCGCTATTCTTCTTCTTGGAAGATGGAGAGATTTGATCTTACATGGGAGGTGTGCAGTTGCGTTTCTTGAAGAAAGAAACATCGCATTTCTCCCTTCATGGAGGTCGGCCACGTCTAGGTGGGGATATGTTGGGGGAATCATGTCATCGGTGTCTTTGAGGAGGAGACTTTGACTGCTTCTTCTCCCAGACCCCTATCTTCTTGCTCTGCTGCAGGATAAGGGAATTAGTCTAGTTAAGGGCAGCGAGCAATGCTGCAATTCCCGGGTCGGCATTATGAGGAATGAGAACTGGTTACAGAATCTCCAACAATTCCTCAGTAGGGTTCTTGGGACACCGGTCGTCCAAGAAATGATGGTCGTCACGCTGGGTGTCGATTGAATTTGAGGATGTAGTCAGGCCATCACGGAAGCCGAGGTTATCCTCGAGGTGAGGATGTTCTTGACTTCTGTCGGTCTTATGCGCTGGGGAAAGCACAGTCTTTCCAGTTAGGTGGTGATTATCATGGTCAGCCAAGATTGATGAATGAGGAGGGTCTTTGGTCTTTAGATTCCAGAGAACAGAAAACGGGGAAGATAATTTCCCATAGACGGAGCCACCGATCTTACCAGTTGATCAGAACCAACAAGGCGGACGAATGATGATCTTCAGACGGGCTGGAAAGTCGAGGAGAAAAAAGGGGGGGGGGGTTCTACTTGCAAGGCACTCCGACGATCAAGTAAGTGTAGGAGCAAGAGAGATACAAATAAAGTGTTAGGGTTTTAGTGATGAATAATGATATTCGATACCCGACCCTCACACGTGTGAGAGTTTATATAGTGCCCCTGGCCCTTGGCCATTGATTCCTATTTTTGGGTTTATATATACGGGTCCACAAAAATAGATAACTGTCAGGACTTGGTCAAAACGGGCGGGTATGCTCGTAACTAGTCGTTGGTTTCGAGGAGGCGGATTACAGATAGATGATCATTTCAGAGTTTTCCTAGTTGTCAGCTAGATTCATATTGGGCTGATGGGAGACAACCATTGACCGAGTCATGCGTGACTGTCAGGAATATCTGGTCCTCTGCTCGGAGTGTGATCAACCAGAGTGTTGGACCACTGTTGTTGGGCCCTGCCAAAGGTAGAAGCGGATTGAGCCAATTCAAGTCATTGGATCAGTCTAGAAAATAACATAATCTAGATAACAATTCATTCATCCTTAAGTGATTAATGGCTTTAACAATAGAAAAAATAAAGACTTACAACGATTATAAATGATCCTCTAATGGAAACCTTCATTTTCCCTCTCTTTGGTACAAAAATGTGTCTTAGATTCTCTAAAAAAAACATAATTCTATAATAACTAAACATGTTTCTCAATTTATAGAAAACTTCTCAAAATGGAAGGTTGTGTCGTGCTTGCACTTAATTGCGTCGTGATCTAAAGATTATCTGTTTAGCAATTATGACATACTGTTTAGATTGCGCTACTAGCTTCTCAGTGTGTCGCCTTGACACTTTTACACTTGATAACACCACATGGTTTTGAAGGCACGCCCATATTAACCCTTTTTTGTAATTTTTCTTTGATTTTTTCCATTCTTCATGTGTTAGTCCTCTCATTGCATCGTCATCGTAACTTTCAAAGTAAAATTATATGAATTTGTCTCGTTAGAATAATTTCGACTTGATTTGGTCTTTTCATAAATATTTGAAACCTTTGTTAAATGGAAATGCATTACTAGTAAATGTACTTAAAAAAAACCGAAATTGAATACTAAAAACATAGTGCGACAAATTTCATCAATTTTTATTTTAGATTTTCGAGAGTGGAAATATATTTAATATGACAATAGATCCAATTTAAGGATGACATTTTGATAATTAGACTCAAGATCCACGCTAGACATAAAAATAGAAATGAAAATCGTATCAATGTTCCTCATTCTTAAGAGTTCCAGCCTGTCAAATATGAACTAACTTACGAAAGTTTATAACACTTAAAATTATACAAATGGTTGAGACTATTCCTCTTGAGACTCGAGCAATCGTTACAATCTCATAATTTTATAAATCAAGTGACCTATGTGTTAGGTCTTTGTTGCCATCTTAATCAATTTTCCCAATTTCATAGACGAGAGAAAATATTAAACTCAAATAAAATTAAATTAAAAAATTGTGATTCATTACATAAACAATCATGGAGAATTATAAAGATCATATATTCATGATAGAATCATCTAAATGAAATATAATTTAGATAACAATTCATTCATCCTTAGGTGTTTAATGGCTTTAACAATAAAATAAAAAAAAGACTTCCAACAATTATAGATGATCCTCTAATGAGAACTTTCGTTTTCCCTCTCCTTAGTACAAAAATGTGTCTTAGATTCTCTAAAAAAAAACATAATTCTATAATAACTAAACATGTTTCTAAATTTATAGAAAACATCTCAAAATGGAAGATTGTGTCGCGCTTACACTTAATCGTGCGTCGTGATCTAAAGATTCTCGGTTTAGCAATTATGACATAATGTTTGGATTGCACTACTAGTTTTTGTTTTTTTTCAGTGTGTCGTCTTGACACTTTTACACTTGATAACGCCACATTGTTGTGAAGGTGTGCCCATATTAATCTTTTTTTTTTAAACTTTTCTTTGATTTTTTTCCGTTCTTCATGTGTTAGTCCTCTCATTGCATCGTTATTGTAACTTTTAAAATATAATATTATAAATTTGTCTGATTAAGATGATTTCGACTTGATTTATTCTTTTCATAAATATTTGAAACCTTTATTAAAATGGAAATGCATTACTAGTAAATGTACTTAAAAACAATAAAATTGAATACTAAAAATATAGTGCGACGAATATCATTAATTTTTATTTTAGATTTTCGAGAGTGAAAGTATATTTAATATGACAATAGATCTGATTTAAGGATGACATTTTGATAATTAGACTCACGACCCACGCTAGACATAAAAATAGAAATGAAAATCGTGTCAATATTTCTAACTGTTAATAGTTTTGGACTTTCAAATATATATATGTGTTTCAAACATCTTCATCTTTTGAAATAACTTTTAGATATAAATTTATAATATAAGTCCATTTAACATAATATCCTAATAAAATGTAAAATGAGAATGTCATTTAAACAATGAGTAACATTGATATTTGAATTAACCATAAAATATACCAAATTAAGATGATTAGCATTAGAGAAATTGACCTTATACTAGACAATATTTCCTGCATATACTGATCAAGATGTTCATGACCATAGCACAATTGTTTTTGACAAACCAAACACCTTATAAGTTAGGCACTCCAAAAACCACATAGACATGAAATAGAATTAATATTGCCATGGCTACAATATTTTGATATAAAATAGACCAAACTGGTTTCATTTGAGTACAAAGCATGGTCCAATTTCTGTACCTAACTGTAACTCTGTAAACATAGCAATGTGATTCACTGCATTGTCCTTTCCTTTTCCCTTGTAGCTTAAACGGTGCTGTCAAAAACAATAACGGATAAAAGCCTCATTTGTCTTGCATGCATTCCCTCTCTCTCTCTCTCTCTTGCATGAAAAATGGTCCCCTCTCTACCATACCACACCCCCAACCTAACTCACTCTCCTCCAAACCCTTAAATATTCAACCACCTATAGCACCTTAACTTGTGACTATTGACTAATGCTGCTTCATAATCACAATCTAGTAATCTATAACAAAGATCAATTATTACTACACTTTAACAGCCTCCTAAAGTTGTGACTAATGCTATTGCATAATTCCAAACACTAGTTATCTATATTGTACACTAAATAAAAATCAATAAGACAAATGCATATAGGGTGTGGAAATTGTATAGCATATAGGTTCAGAAAAAAGGAAAGCCTATATTTCCCATCCATAATATAGGTCTCACAGAGTTCTGATCATATATTAAAGCCATTGTTATTATTATGACTTTTGAGCTTCGAGAACTGTGATAACAAGATATTGTGTTTTTTCTTTCTTTCTTATTCATATAAATAAATACATTATTCTTATTCTTATATATATATATATATACTCCACCACAACATGGTTCCTTAGTTTTTTCCCTAAACACAAGAAAGAAAACACAGGTTATCAGGCTTTTTTGTTTCCTTCATTCTCATTTTCCTTTTTTTTCCTCTTCAGTTGGAGCATATTTTCAGGATCTTGTTCTTTCTTTCTTCATACTAGAATCCATTTTCTTCTGCTCCTATCTCCACTATGCTCATATCATTATATAGCTAAGAACAATAGTGTTGTTTTCCCCTCAATATAACAACAACATCATGAAGTGTATTAAATCTATGATTACTAGTATCATTTATACCATGTTTATTATTCTATCTATGAATGAAGTTTGTTATGGACAAGAAGAACCTTCTTCTGATGTTACTCCAATGGAGAAACAAGAACTTGAAGCTTTGTACTCAACCATTCAAGGCTTTGTTGGTGATTCATGGAATGGCTCATCTCTCTATCCAGATCCTTGTGGTTGGTCTCCTATTCAGGTACATTTTTTCAAACTTTTTTTCTTTTTCAATTTAGCCAAATCTGGTTTCGTGGTTTGGTTCAGATAGACGAGGACTCAAGATTTTGAAAGTGTTGAAGGTTATGAAATTGTAGTATTAAGTGTTAACCATTTGGATGTTAGTGTATAATTGTTTAACAGTAATTGTCCTTATCTTTATCTATCTTTTGTGAAATTTGATAGGTCACACAATAAATGATTACATATCATTTAAACCATGTTTGAGAACATTGAGAAAGCTTTCAATTCAATATTGAAATTATAAAAGTATTTATTTTCTGCTGCAGGGAGTTTCTTGTGACATTTTCAATGGATTTTGGTATGTAACAGTTCTTAACATTGGACCAATTCATGATAATTCTCTTACATGTTCTAATGAAAAATTGGAATTTAGGCCAGAATTATTTAGCCTCAAGTACCTAAAAGTTCTATCATTCTTCAATTGCTTTCAATCACCAAATAGTCTTCCGGTTTCAATTCCTACCGGAAACTGGGAGAAATTATGTGAGAATTTAGAGACAATTGAGTTTAGATCGAATCCCGGTCTGATCGGAAGCATTCCTTCGTCTTTCGGTGTCCTCAAGAATCTTGAATCAATGGTTTTACTGGAGAACGGTTTATCCGGTAGAATACCATTAGAAATTGGAAAACTTGTCAAATTGAAGAGACTTGTTTTATCAGGAAACAATTTCAGTGGCAGTGTTCCGGATAATTTTGGTGGGTTAAGAGATTTATTAATCTTAGATTTAAGTAGAAATTCGTTATCCGGGAAGTTGCCGTCGACATTCGGGAACATGATTTCGATTTTGAAGATTGATGTTAGTCATAATTTTCTTGAAGGAATGTTGATTAATGAGTTTTCAAGTTTGAAGAATTTGACACTATTGGATTTAAGGAACAATAGATTCTGTTGTGGACTGGTGAGTTCTTTGCAAGAGATGTATTCTTTGGAGGAATTGGTTTTGTCAAATAATCCATTAGGTGGTGATATGAGGAATTTGAAATGGGGGAATCTGAAAAATTTGGTGATTTTGGAACTCTCTAACATGGAATTGAGAGGTCAAATTCCTGAGTCATTATTTGAGTTGAAGAAATTGAGATTTTTGGGACTTAATGATAATAATCTTACAGGTAAAGTTTCACCTAAGCTAGAATCACTTCCTTCTCTTAATGCACTTTACTTAAGTGGAAATAATCTTAAAGGTGAGATTCAATTTTCAAAAGGCTTTTTTGGTAAATTGGGGAGGCGTTTTGGTGCTTGGAGTAATCCTAAACTTTGTGTTCCTGTTGCTCTTATGTCATCAAACAATGTTCCATTTGGGGTGAAGCCATGTCATCAACAACAAGAGGTTCATTTGGTGAAAGCTAATGCAAGAAAACAGATTCTCAATGGTGATATCAATATGAAGAACAACACTTCCAATTTCATACCCTCTATGGGATTTTCTACTTCTGCAAATTCTTGTTTTTCGTCCATTTTTATCATTTTCGGTTTACTGTTTAATCTATGTAACTTGGGAGTTTGATTAATTAACCTTTTAGCTGTTACATTACATCACAACAAGTTGTATGTCTTTTTTTATGTTTTATTCTAACATAATCTAATACTCTTGTCAATTTGTTAATTGGTTCTAGTTTTATTATTTTGTTTAATATTTTTTTTTATATTATTTCTCAATTTATGGTCAACAATATTTGCAGACAATTCTGCAGAATTGCAATAGTAACTGATGGGAAATCATATATACATACACATGGGGACTGTAATGTAATTTCTGTCAATATTGTACTATTACACAATATGAAACCACTTGGTTCTTAGAGTGTTCTTGTTGCCTATAACTACTTTCTTCTAATTCATATAATACACATTAGTTGAATTAATTTGTGCTTTGTTACATAAGGTAACCGCATATACCATAATAAAAATATACTAATATCCTAAATTGAGTAGTTTTTTTTTTTTAAATTTGGAATTTTTTATATTTTAAATTTGGTATCTAACTTAACAACAATCTAATTCTAAAGGTGGAGAGTCCAAATTGAAGACATTACATTGTTTGTATTAACTTACTTAACACAAATTATTGATTGACCTATGTCTAGTTTGTTCTAATTCAGATATTACACCTTATTGGAATTAATTTGTGCTTTGTTGCATAATGTAATTGTTTATCATAATAAAATATACTAATATCCCTAAATTGGGTGGTAGGCTAATCCTTTCCCAAATTAAACCCACAGGTAAAGGAGAATTATAATAAACAGTAAAAATATTTAAAAATCTAACATTTCGACATATTTAGAGTTGATTTTGAACTCAAAATTTTTAATTAAATTAAAAGAAATTTCTTATCATTTTCATGTTAGTGTTTTTTAATATTTATTAGAATTTATATTATTGATATAGTAGCTTTATATTTCTGTGAACATTTTCTGTATTTTCCATCTTTTAGTATTATTTTTTAATGCATGACGGTTATGAATTAAATATATGAAAGTGAAATATGGAGGATTAAAGATAGTAGGGCTTGTATAGCTGTTGAAGCAGAGAGGTGTCTAACTATGTATGTAGTTAATTATAAGAGTAGGGTGGTACAAAGCTTTTAATGGACCTTAGGTTTTTAAAGAAGGCTATTATGGGTTTGGGTTCATTACAAAAGCTATGTTCTGGCAATATGACAGATCTGTGCTCTCTTTGTTCAAACTTAGTTTTCAAAGTTGTTTTCAAGGTATTAAACATTGTACAATAAGAGAGGAAAATTGAATGTTCCTCATCTTTTACTTGTTGGAATTCTCCTTATTTTGTTCCCTTCAAGGAAACTTTGGTCACAATCTTACCAAGTTTGTGGTTCCATTTTCATCATTGGTTTGTGCCTTTTATTTGGTGAGTGTAAAGTATGTAAAAAAGAACACATGGAATTGGAAAAAAAAGGGGAAATGTATTCCTGAAGTTGGAATGTAATCTCAACTGTAAATATATTAGGAGATTTTGATTTGAATCGATAGCATGTTTGAATTGATTTTTGGAAGATCCAGAATTAATTTTAGAGGTGTAGAATTGATTCTGGTGATTTTGAGGTGTTTAGTTTATCAAAAATAGAATTGATTTTGTCATCTATAATTGATTCTACTTGAACTTAGAATTTGTAGTTTCTGTTTTCAGAATTGTTTCCAAGTTATTTTTATACTGAAATTTATTGTTCAACTTATTTTTACATAAATGTATTCAAACATAAGTGTCGGTATGTGATACTATAGAACATTTGGTTGAAAATATAGAAACAACGTCATTTAAAACAATATAGAAGATTCAATAGCGACAATTTCCCGATCTTACCTCTTATTTATTATTGGGATAGAGAAATGTTTAACAATTACGTTGGACCAAAAACAACCAAACTTATAGACCTATACATATTACTTAGAGTAAACATTCGATAAAAGTCTCTAACGCAATGTTTGTGCATCTTTCTCAACTACCAATAACAAGATGAGGGGGCGAAATTCATAGTAATTCGAGCTTTGAGTGATTTTCTCCTATCATTGAGATTGATACAACGAAGGCTTTAGGTTTTCTATCACCCACCAAATGTGTACATGAACCCAATCTTAGCAAAATGGATTTTGAGTTAGATTTTAAAAGCTTAGTAGACATGGTGAATAGTCAACGACTCAATTCTTTAGTGTGATTATTAAAAAATGTACACTTATTATCACTTCATTTTTTTAAGAAATCAAAATGGATTAACATCAACGACCCTATAGCACAAGATGTGTTATAGAGGACGCAAAAGTTTACAACACTTTTGTCATACGAAGAACAAAAACCTCACCTTAAACTCAAATAAACCAAAGGATTTTGCCACCACACATGGGATCCAGAAATAAAATTAACGGAATTAACCTTTAGCCACATAAAAGACATCAATTTAACACTATCTAACAATGCAGCTTTAGTGTTAAAGACCCTATTATTCATCTCTCTATAGGACCCAAATAGTAGTGAGCCATGGTAATCGTAAAAAGTCACAGCCTGTCAATCCTATCCAAGAACGAATTTGTTGCCAAAGCAAACCGAAGAACTCAATAAAGAAATAGATGTTGTGCTGACTCCACCACACCACACCAAGCAACACATAATAGATCCTCTTGAGAAATCATTCCTTAATTGGCCAAATTAACCTTGGTAGACAACCTGTCACGCATCAACCGCAACACACAAATAGAAACTTTCATAGGAACCTATTTATGCCAAACATAATTGAAAATTGAGTCCACCTGTTGACATTCTCGGTTGGTAAGCATGTGATAAACATCATTGACCATGTAGCACGTGCCTTCAGAAAACGTCCATCCGCCCCGAATTTTATCCTATAAAGAGACATCGAGTAATAGTAACTGACACTCATATACCAAATCCTCCTCCCAAGCTAACAACCTCCGTCGCCACCTCCTAGCACCACTTTCTACTCCCCACCCTAAGAGAAACATGTTCGTTGTCGACTCCCCTTTAAACTCAGACAATTAGTAAACACGATTAAATATCTCACATAAAGGCACCTCTCCTACCCAAGTATCCGTCCAAAAGAGAGTATGAACACCATTACCCACCTTCCTATGCACATTTTTATTAAACCAACTTCCTTCCTCTAAACCCACCTGTTTCTCCATGAAACAATCGCTAGCCTCTTATTAAAGGTCACTTGCAGGATCGACTACAATAATACTAGACTTAGTGTTTTGAGTGTTATTTTTTGGGTTAAAACTGATTTATAAAAGGTAAAAGGGTAAAATAAAAGACAATTTCAAAGTGAATAAATTAAAGACAAGACTTGTACTTGTAAAGTAAAAACTGGAAATTGTTATGAATTCAAATGTGGAAGCATTCATACATTGTCAAGTCTGAAACCCGTTTCTCTCTTAGATGTTAGTACTTTGAGTGTAATGTTCTAAATGCGAAGAAATGTGACCCTTGACACAAATACAAGCCTTTGCTTAAATAGAAATCCTAAATATGTAACTATCGACGGTTACTAGTCTACGTTGGGCCTTGTGGAGAACTTATCCAAACTACTATTGAACATCTCCCATGTTCTTACTGGTTTGCATGTTGATAACTATTCCCACCATCATAAATCCTTGCTCGTTGACACCTTCACCTATCGATGACTGCATTTGAATCCCAAGCCTTTCGTCGACTAGCTTCTTCTGGTCGATACCTTTCGCCTTGATCTACACGTCCTGTTGTTTTCAACAAACTTACACCTTTCCAACGAAATAAACCCCACAGCTTAAGACTTCTTATCTTAGTCGAAAATGTCTTATCAACAAATTGCCCCCCAAAACTCCATACTCGACGGAGCCTTTATCGATGGGAGAATTCTAGCATTTTCTCTTCCAAGTTTTCAACTGCATGCCTCTTTTAATATGACGTCATGCACAATCATGATCACTTTCTGCATAACAGTTCCCCATGTCACTTCAATCACTTCTCATGATTACTCTTAGGTTTTAGGGCGTAGGTTTTCAAACAGACCCACTAACTTTTCCACTTCTTTTGGCCTGCTCCCGTTTCCCAAAATTCTATCTTTCTGATCCATGGGAAGAATAACTTTCCACACGTAGTCGCCAACTGCAAACGTCTTTATCTTGGCCTTTTTATTGTATTCCCTTGAAACCCGCTCTTTTTTTTCTTTAAATTAGCATATTTAGTGCATCTAATATTTCTTCATCCAGATCCATTATTTCGTCAAACATCATATTCCAATATTGTTCTGACGAAAGTTCGTGTTAACGATGTACCCGCACTGACTGCAAGCATATTTCAATTGGTAAGACCATATTGTGTCCAAATACCAGTCGAAAAGGTATCGATCTAGTTGCTTATTTGGGGAACGTTCGACAAGCCCATAAAGCTTGATCCAACGTCTTATGCCAGTTCTTGGGTTTCTTAGATAGGTCTTTCTTAATTAACCCAATTATTATTTTATTGGCAGCTTCGACCTGACCATTGGCTTGAGCGTAATAAGGCGTGGATGTTACTAACTTGAATCCTATTTCAGCTGCAAATTCTTGCATCTTACGCCCAATGAAAATCGACCCTTGGTCTGTAGTGATTGTCTCAGGATTTCCAAATCTATAAATGATGTGCTTTTGAATGAAGTCAATCACTTATTCTTGGCCGATATTGATTAATGGTATTGCTTCTATCCATTTAGTGAGGTAGTCCATCCCCACCAAGATGAACTTTTATTGCTTCGACGAGGCTAGTCCAATTTCTCCTATGATATCCAGCGCCCATCCTCGGAACTGCCACTGCTTAATAATTGTGTGCAATTCTCTTACCGGTACATGTTGAAAACCTGCATGCTTTTGGCATTCTTGACATCCTTTAGCAAACTCAATACGATCTTTCAGCATACTTGGCCAGTAGGCACCCTGTCGGAAGAACAACCATTTCATTTTATGGCCGGCTTGGTGGGCACCACAAGCTCCACTATGAATTTCGACTATTTCCAAATAC